TTAAGGTTAAACAGTTAGTTTGAAACATGACTATAATGCAAGGATAAATATTTTCTTTAGGGGTACCAACAAATTTGTCCATACTATTTTAGCATATCCTTGTGAAATAAACAACAAATCATTTTGTTTTCTCACAATTTTATTGGTTTACTCAATCACATACTAAAGACTATTGCTTGTAATTGAATCACTTTTCAGGAGAAATGAAGCATTGATTCAATGAGCTGTAAGGGTGTTTTGTACACACACACACACACACACACACACACAGAGTGATTTCACTGTTGGGCCCTGAACACAGCCTTTAACCTCCAGCTTCTCCAGGGACTGTCTGACGTTTTCTGCTTTCTTTAAAAGCATCTGCTAAATACATCACATGTGAAAATGTAAATATCTGACACAGTGCATTAAATAGAATTAATGCATCATTTTACATCAAATAATCATATTTATGAAATGATTTCCCAGCTGGGTACCTGTTTGCCTATTTAAAAAAATATATTCTTGAGTTAGCATACTGGTTACCATGACTTAAGTGAGTGTACTTGGTACCATGACTTGAATAAGCGTACTGGTTACCATGACTTAAGTGAGTGTACTTGGTGCCATGACTTGAATAAGCGTACTGGTTACCATGACTTAAGTGAGTGTACTTGGTGCCATGACTTGAATAAGCGTACTGGTTACCATGACTTAAGTGAGTGTACTTGGTGCCATGACTTGAATAAGCGTACTGGTTACCATGACTTAAGTAAGTGTACTTGGTGCCATTACTTGAATAAGCGTACTGGTTACCATGACTTAAGTGAGTGTACTTGTTACTAGGGGTGGGCGATATGACCTAAAATTATCATGGTAATTCATTTTTTGTATGGTGACGGTATTATATTACGGTATTACTTTTTTCAGGTCTTGTCTTTATGTAGCAAATTTTTCAAAATATATTTTATAAGTAGACTTTAATTACTATTACAGTTGGTTATGGGTGGTCTTTAAAAAAAAAAGTGTCATAGGTGATGTTTTCTCAAATTCATTTCGTAATTGTTGGAGTAACTACGCACAGTGAATGATAAGCCGTTTCAGTCGAAAACAGTGCATTTTACTTTTCATTACAAATACAACTTACTGTTGCTAACTAGAGTGAGATTTTTAATTCGAGACAAGTCTGCACGCACATGCACACTCATTTACATAAATGTAAGAGTTTCATTACCTTGTAAGTAGTCTGATTACTTTCTCCTTCTGATGTCCTGAAGTGTGGGCTTCATGACTGCCATGTATTGGCTGTAGACCCCGCTGACAGGCAACAGTATCGCTAGACAGCTTATCTGCTTTGTTCTGCCTTCATCTGTGTTGCCTGCATAGTTATTACCTTAATTTCGTGCAGTTATACTCTGGTTCACTTTGTAGAATGATTTGCCTTGTCAACAGTGACGGTGCAGAGTATGTAGAACAAATTAACTTATGGAGATGTGCTTAGTGATGAGTCATTAACTGGTGTTAGAAACCTCACTGCCATTATAAAACCCCAGGAATTTATTCAAATGTTGTTTTGTTTGAATGTACCAGGCACAGACTTAATATTTAAACAATTTCAGAAACTGGTTTCAAGCTTTTATCTAAATGGATTAACTTTATCCTGGACAATTTCGTCATTTTTTTAAGGCCCGTAACACAAAGTTTGCATTTTTGTGGCGGCCTATGTAACTCATTCTGGCCAAATGGCTGTTTAATTGCACTTCACTGGCAGACCTGTAATTCTTTGTGCTTCACAACAACTTGTTCTTTAGTGTGATGGATGGGATTTTTTTTTTTTCTTCTAATACCGCTGACAGACCCATAGTGACAAGGTCTGCATTTTGATATTTCAGCTCATTCTCAACCTCATCCAAATTGCATCTTACTTTGTGTATATACAGCATGCGTCGATACATACACGCCACTGTTCAAAACGTGGTTGTTCCTTCAGAGAGCAGAACCCCCTTTCTCTGGGTATCTAATCAATCCAGAAGCATTCTTGTCACCAGGGAGACTCCAAATCTGTGAAATTCATTAGGAATGGCCTTCCTGTGTCTGTCTACCGTCTCTGCATTTAACATTTTCATCTGAAGCATGTGTGATAAATGTCTGGAGCAAAAGCAAAAGAATAAAATAAAATAAAAGAAGGCTAAAGGTTAAAGGTTCTGGAGGTATATATTTGTGGATATAATCTGGCTTTATGAATGGAGACAGGGAGGTATTTTCCAGGCAGACACAGAGCTATTTGTATATGGCAAGCAAAATAACTTCCTTTTAGTAGATGTGCCAGTACAGTGGCTGCCCAGGTACAAGTATTTATTTTCTGCATGAATATGGAGTCTGGATGGCAATGTAGTGCAGTGGATTCGGCTGACGTGAAGCAACTTATTGCCGCTGGTAATGTTCCCCTTGAAGTAAATTGAAGTAAGTTGCATGGAGCTGTTGATCTTGCTTGAGCCTGCCATATGTGTACAGGCTACGAAGATAAATGTAAATGCTTTCCAGTATCCTTGTATGTCCCTCCTGTGCTTAGTGGGAAATGCTGTCCTCGGAGGGACACATCTGCAGCGGGCTGTTTGAGCAGACCGGGCAGTTACTCTCGAACGCTTGTGCAGTGACATAATGCTTCTCTGGACTGGTTGAATGTAGCCAGAGATTCCTGGTACAGCATCGTTCTCTCAGCCTCACGGTCACAATAATAAACACTATCCACTGCTGAAAATTCTTCCTCTTATTTCATAAGAACTGCGTTTGATGTAATATTATCTCCACTGTTTTTAAAGTTTTGCTAAAGTTGTAATGTTTTATATTATTACGCCTCACAGACTAGTATTAGGCAATGCCTGTCAAATAGGATCTACCTCTTTTTTTTGGAGGAATCTGAAAAAACACTTTTATTAAAAACACAAGTTGTCACACCTTCCCCCACAGTTTAAAATCACTTTTAACTTTGCATATATAAAATGTGTTATTGTACACAATGACAGATTATTGTGAATTGGAACCTGTTATTACTATTTAGTGTCAGTGGTGTTATTTCATTTCTAATATGTCGCAACTAATACTCACGCTTATATTATCAAAGCTTTTAACCTTGGATTTTCCCCCCACATCAAAGAGTGAGCAGTTGCACTAATTCCCCTGATCAGATGACGCCAGTGCGTGTTCATAAATATTAAATTATAAAGCTAGCCTTCTGTATTCATGGTGCTTTGCTGCTAGGAATTAGAACACCTGTTTCTTTCAAGTATCAAGCAGCACTGCCTGAAAATATGCCTCTCTGGGTCTGGATGTTTTTGCGAGCGCAGTACATGAAGGAAATTAAACAGTAAAAGTCAAACAAAGCCATGACGTTCAAAATTACATTATTGCATTTGGAACATTTATGCAAGTGGAGATAGCACAGCTGTGGGCCGCCTGGGAAGTCGGAGCCTGGGCATGTGTACTGGGGATGAGAAAGGAGGACGGGGGAGAGATGGGGGACCCCAGGTTACAAACCAGCTCCATTTCCTAAGTCAGTCATTAAGTCGAATTTCAAGGTAAGTTGGACCGATAATGATACAGTACATAATAATGATAATAATTGTACAGTAATAATAAAAGTAGCTGCATACAGTACTGTACTGTACCTCGAGCCAATGAACCACTGAGTTTGTAAGTACTGTACAAGTCATTAATGAATGACTTTATGAATGGCAGTCTTAATGAGCGGCTGCGTGACGTCTCCTCACAATGATGAAGGACACTCTCTCACATCTCAGGACACTCTCGCTGTCAGTCAGGTAGTTGATGATCTCCTTTGGTTGGCTTTTGCTCAGTAGCACAGCCTCTTGAGGCAGAAGCCTTTAAGTCCATGGCTTTGCTCCTATGGCTCCATCGTCCTACCAATCCGTGCTGCTTCTGGCACTGCACGCAAATGACTGACGCGGCCAGTGGAACTGAGGAGCTGGATCCCGAACAATTTCCTTCTGTCACGCATGCCAGCATAACTGACCTTGTCATGCTTATTGAGGACAATGAAGGAAACAGTGTAGCTGATCTGCATTTAGCCGCAGAATGTGGTGGCTGGGAGTGGCAGGGGTGCAAATACTGAAGCAGCCTCAGCACCACTACTAATCCTCCATTTTTACTCTGTGGAAAGAATTAATATAAAGTCTGTGAATATGTATGGTGGAGAGAAGGTGTAACACTCGACTTTTTCTCTACTTTCAGCTTTAAAAGATAAAGGTCAGCTAAACTCACATGTTGTTCATGCTGTAGTGTAATGATTGTAGACATTGTCTTCCAGCTTTTTTTCCAGGAATTACACATAAGTAACACTGAAAAGTCCTGCTCTGTCTCACTCTGTCATGTACTATGTTCTGTATTCTGTTCGTTGTATAATATTTTGCACACTGCTGTGATCCCTATAATGTAATGACTAATTAGTTCCATAGATGTATAAAGAGGCTTCCTGTTACTACAATAACATCCAGGCATGTTTGGAGCAAAGCCTATTGGCTGGCGTACTTCAGAAAGCTGCCATGTAGAAGGTGGTCACACTGCATAGTGCCTGAACGGCGTGGTAAACAGGAAATCTGAGGTATTGCCAAACACAATGCCTAGCTCACATATGCATTTTTCTTCACCTTAAATGATGACCTAGATGACTGGTGTCACTGGGTGCTGTTGGATTGGCTTTTAAATACTGTAAAATGCACATTGGAAATGTGAAACTATATTCAATAGAATAGAATAGAATATCTTCATTGTCATTGTACAACACAACTTCATAATAGACTAAGATACAGACCTAGGCAGAACACAAAACAGCTGTGCAAAGCTATAAGCTATTAAAAATAGTTTTAATATTGCTAAACAGCAAAATGAGAGCTTTGTAAGGAAAATTGCTCCCAGTGTACTGACAGGCTTTATCTGGTTTCATTTTACAGTGAAGCCCACATTTGCTGAAGGATACTCAGGCATGTACTTTGTTCCTGCAGAGAAAAGCCCGTCTCCATCATTCAGGAGACCTCCGGACCAGTCGACCTTCTCGGCCGCCGCCCGGCTGTCCGCCATGCTGAATGGGAAGGACCAGATATATGCCAATGCCATGCTGGTGGAGCAGGTATCGCAGAGAGAGGCCCAAAGCTTCACCCGTAACATACTGCCGCTCTGCCGGCTCAGAGCCTAATCCATAGTGTCTTAGGAAAAGGAGGTAATGTTACGTGGAGCAGATTCATTCCTCTAAAATACAGGCAGCCCCCAGGTTACGAACGACAGCCATTCCCTAAGTCTGTCTTTAAGATGAATTTGTAGCAGTCGAATAGCGGTAGATTTTGTTTATTATTATTATTATCCATTCATCCATTTTCCAAACCACTTACTCTTCTGGGTTGTGGGGGGTCCGGAGCCCATCCCAGAAGCTACAGACAAGAGTCCTCTTAACCTGAGGACTGCCTGTACCTTATTCGGTGGTTTCCATACTTTCTGCAAAATGGAATCATTCTATCCATGGAAGACACATGAAGTCTTGCCTTCTGTCTACTACTACCTAGTCTACTAGTCCCTGTGCCATCTCCAGATCAAAACAAGACTATTGCAGTGTGGGCGTGTGTGATGACATCATGCAGCATATTAGTTAACTTTATATACATTATTACATATACACTGTGTGGACAAAATTATTGGGATACACCTCTTAATAATTAAATCCAGGTATTTTATTCGATTACATCGGCACAGGTGTATAAAATCAAGCACTAAGCCATGCAGTCAGGTTTATAGACATTATAAAAGAATGTGTTGTTCTGAAGAGCTCAGTGAATTCAAGCACTGTACTGTCATAGGATGCCACCTTTGTGATAAGTCAGTTTGTGATTTTTTTTCCGTGTTAGATTGTTGATGTTCAACTGTAAGTGGTATTATTGCAAAGTGGAAGCCTTTAGGAACAACAGAAACTCAGCCACATAAAGTAACAGAGCAGGTCACCGAGTGCTGAGGCACGTAATGCGTAAATATTGCCAACGCTCTGTTGATTCAGTAACTGCAGAGTTCCAAACTTCCTCTGGCATTAACTCCGGCACAAAAACGGGAGCTTCATGGAACAGGCTTCCATGGCCGAGTAGCTGCATACAAGCCTCACCAAGTGCAATGGCAGGTGTTGGATGGAGTGGTGTAAAGCACACTGCCACTGGACTCTGGAGCAGTGGAAATGTGTTCTGTGGAGTGACGAGTCACGCTTCTCTGCCTGGCTGTCTGATGGGCATGTCTGGGTTTGATGGATGCGAAGAGAATGTTACCTGCCTTGCGCCAACTGTAAAGTTTGGTGGAGGGATAATAGTATGGGATTGTTTTTCAGGGGTTGGGCTAAGCCCCTTAGTTCCAGTGAAGGGAACTTTTACTACTTCAGCTTACCAAGGCATTTTGGACAATTCTATGCTTCTAACTTTGTGGGATCAGTTTGGGGAAGGCCCTTTTCTGTTCCAGCGTGACCTTACCCCAGTGCGCAAAAAAGGTCCAAAAAGACATGGTTGGGTGAGTTTGGTATGGAAGAACTTGAATGGCCCACACAGAGCCCTGACCTCAACCCCATCAAACACCTTTGGGATGAACTAGAATGGAGGTTGTGAGTCAGGCCTTCATGTCAAACATCAGCGTCTGACCTCACAATTGCTCTTCTGGATGAATGGGCAAAAATTCCCACAGACACACTCCAAAATCTTGTAGAAAGCCTTATATGGCATCTGTCATACCTGCAAAGCGCAGACCGATTCCATATTGATCTCTATGGATTTAGAATGGGACGTCATAAATGTTGCTGTACCTGTAGGTGTAATGGCCAGCTCCCCAAAACCTTTGTCCATATAGTGTATCTCTCTTTCTTCTGAATCACATATATAGTATAGATTTGAAGTGAGCTTGGACCCTATGTCAGGGAGCAAAGGGCAGAGGGACCCATAGCAGTTCAACACTGGGCACAGTCTATCCGCAGTTTAGAGACATCAGGTCAGCTAACCCTTGTCGAAGGATCGCCGTATAGTGTGGGGCAAACATACGATCTCCACAGAGCCGGCATGGGATTCAAGCCTGTGACCCGAGGCAGCGAGTAAAAGCAGCACTGTACAGTAAAAGCAGCACTGTGCAGTAAAAGCAGCACTGTACAGTAAAAGCAGCACTGTATGAGAGGAACTGCTTATCAGTTCTGATGCAAGTTTGCCTGCTGGGATAAAAGAAACAAGCTATTGGGCCAAAAGGTTAAATACAAGAGTCTGAACAATGTCCAAAATGTGCAGTTGTTGTTGACACAGCTTTACTGATAGTGTACAACTCAGCTACCCTATATCAGGAGGCGTCCTTAAACGCCATGCCACCTTATGGCTCATAGGTGCAGTTACACCCCCCAGAAACTCCTGCTATTTCACATTAATGAGCTGTTACTCAGGCACAGGTAAGAAATGCCGCTTTTGGTTTGGTCCTGTCCATCACCTTAGGCACTCAAATTTGATTCAGAACATTCCTTCGCTCTGAAGCAGAACAGAGAGCCTGATGATCTATTACTACTTATTTGTTTGTTCATCACTATAGGATCTGTAAGGGAAACGATGTATCCACTGTTTATGGGCACATGGACTCAATTTAAAATTTCCATCAGCCTCACTGTCTTTGTAACCCCCCCCCCCCCCCATAGGTGAATGACTCGGACATAAAGTACAGCATCGCTGGGGTGACAGGCGACAGCACACTGACGGACGGTGGGGGGCCCGACGCTCTCGGGGGCGCTCCGCCTTTCCCAGCTGACCCTGCGCAGGTGGCGGGCTCATCCGCTTCTCTCTCCCGCCCTCCGCACGCAGAGGAAGGGGGGGCCCGGGAACAATTGACCCCCGCTAGTCCCTCCCCGTGTCTTTCCCCTGTTGACCTAGCGCTTTCTCGGCTAAATAAGCTAGCCCAGGCCGACGTGCTCAGTCAGGGAGGGGGATCCTCGCGGGAGGCATGTGCTCGGAGGTGAGATGTCCTGCCTGGCCGCGCTTTCACTTCAGAGTCTCCATTAGAATCAGAATCTTCAACCCGCTTTGTACTTGAGCTTTCCTGTACAGTAAAGGTACGGCTGGCTGTTGCTCAAACGTTCTTTTGACATGTTCAGTAAACAGTAAAATGCTGTACATTAATTCCATTTTATGTTTGATGTATTTCTGTAATGTACAACAGTAATGATTTAAAGTATTTAGTGTTCTACGAGATTATTACATCATACGTGTTCAACTTCTGTAATGATTCAAAGTACAAAATTCAGTTTGCGGCTGTGAGATCCTTTTGAAATGGGGTTTGTCATCAGGTGTCTGAATTTAATTTCAGTTTTATATAGAAGGATATGGACCAAAGTAGTTGTGATGAAAGGTTTAACGGCAGTTTTTAAATGCTATTTGATTAATGTTCTCTCACTCATGTCTCCATATTTTCCATCTTTTAAATGGTGACAACATCTTTTAAAACTGACAAAATGACTTCTGCATTCTGTATTATTTTCTATTCTAACATGTTTAATTCCTTTAGACATTAGTGTATACTTAGCCCAGCCTGTGCTTGTTTTTCAAGGCTTCTTGCATTGAGCCCATTGTTCACCTATTTCCTCTCCCATTCTCAGGCTGGGGGGTGGGGGTGGTTGCACTTGTTCTAATGGGAGCTCTCTGTGTCACTTCCCGTCAGCCCCAGTCTAGTGGCTCTGGAGGTAGACAGCGAAGAGGACGAACTACTGGAGAAGTCGGCTTTTTCTCGCCATTCCACGTCTCCCCAGCAGGGCGGCGCCCTGCAGGCCAGCAGCGGAGACGATCAGGACTCCTTCGACGCCTCCCTGGACCTCAGCCGCAGTCACGCACACTCCTCTCCCTTACGCAACTCTCCTTTGGTACTGTGAGCCTCCTCGCTGTGGTACACAGCCAGAAAGTAGATTCAGCAAAAAGCTATTTTCAGTCTGAATCACACACATTATACGCATATGCCGTTTTATATGCACTAGTAAATTGTCTTTTACTTGTACAAAGAAAATAATCTGGTGAGCTGCCAAGTCACAAGTAGATGTTGCAGTAGACTGGGGGGCAGGGGGTTATGAAGACACCGGTCTGATTGCTGCGATAGAAGGGTTGGACGACCACCGATTTAGTAACCATTCATTAGAAGGTTCATTAGAAGTTCCACTTGCTTTTCTGACTGTTGTCTTTTCTGTAGGATTCAGGGGATCTCGGTCTCCGCCTGCGCTCGTACTCGTACTCATCCCCCAAGATCAGCACGGTGCGGCCCCGCTGCAGCCGGCACCTGGCCAGCTCGGATCTCACCGAAGGTCGGTGTCTCTCCAGCTGGCCCTCAGCTGACCAAAAGCTCCAGTTTGGCTGTTCAGTCTCCCGTCGTATACATAATGATCTTTATGCTATCATTATACTGTATACTGTATATATAATGATCTGCTTTTCAGCATATACTATTCTGATCGAGTGTCTGAGTTACTGTGGAGCATTCTGAATAGTATTAGAATATGTTTGTTCTGTTAGCTGTTTCTTCTTTTCCCTTTTGTTTTGGGCTGAAGAACGGAGCCGGAGTTTAATTTGAGAGCGCCAGTGTTCCCTTTCAGCACCGAGCTGATTGTAATCAGTTATTTCACTGTTTGAATGAAACATCTCTGTGGAGCGTTTTTCCAGCAGCGCTCTGGCTCTGCACGAGATGACTTGGCTCCTGACCCTCTCTGGGTCTGTCTGTTGTGCGGCTGTGGGCCCAATAGCGGCAGCAGCTTGGAAGCAAACGTGTTTTCTTAGTAATTTAGATTTTTGGAGTTCGCCTTTCTTCGATTCTCATTTCCTAGATGGTATTTGGATGCACAGATGTAACTACATGAAACATACCAAAGACCTCCTGACCATAGGTGGTTCTAGACCCTATTTAGGGGGGCTTCAACCCTCCTGTTTTTTAACCCCCTGTTAAAATAATGACCTTAAGACGATTTAGCGATCAGTCCTGTATTTCTCTATACATTTCATACCCCCCGCTCGGCATCCCTTTAGGGGCCTGAGTCCCACTAAGGGCCAAATCCTAAAATTGTACCTGCTTATGATGCTTTTATCTACTGCAACTGACAAGCTTAGGTTTACATTGTGTATAACTTTCTGGAATAATTAACGTTTTTCCTATCAGTGGGGGCAGATTGGGAGCAGACTGGGGGTGGAAAAGGGACAGACTGGGCGTGGACTGGGGGCAGAGTGGGGGTGGATTGGGAGCAGACTAGGGGTAGACTGTGGGCAGACTGGTGGAGGACTGAGTGGACTGAGTGGGAGCAGACTGGGGTGGACTGCCGGTGGACTGCCGGTGGACTGGGGGTAGAGTGGGAGCAGACTGGGGTGGACTGCCGGTGGACTGGGGGTAGAGTGGGAGCAGACTGGGGTGGACTGCCGGTGGACTGGGGGTAGAGTGGGAACAGACTTGGGTGGACTGCCGGTGGACTGGGGGCAGAGTGTTACTCCCAAGTGAGCGTTCTATCCTTGCCCTGTAGATGGCGTGTTCAGCAACAGTGGTCGGTCCCTCCTTCAGGCTCTCTCTCTGTCTAAATCACTGTCCCTGCTCAATCCGATTAGTGAGTATTCGCCTCAGATGATCCCGCCCTGCCCGGCTAGCAAGCATGTAGCCCAAGCAGCTGGGCCTCATGGGATGGGCACTTTTCCTTCATTACCCTCGCCCATCATCCCCGCCGTGCTCCAGTAACCATGTCTGGGGTCTGCCTCCACATGTCAAACGCTAATCCTGTCCCCCCACATGTACGTCCCTGCAGCATTTTAGTGGAGCTGGTCACCGGGTCACCATGTGCAGGACAGAGAGGCACAGTGCATGGTACCCACAGCCATCCCACTAACTAGCCAGCCTGTGTCGTAGTCACCGCTTGGGGGTAGGGTGTGTGACACGGAGGGCATGCAGCTCCTAGCTTGTGGTGTGTGGGTCTTTGTGGGGGGAATTGTTGTGCCCAAAACATTAATCTTACCCTCTGTTTTCATTCCCATAACATGTCATGACTTCCGTGTTGGTCCTTGCTGAGTGTACATTTAAAACTCTGTGTCTCATCAAAGGGTGTTATACAATCCTGAGGTCCCGCATGAAAGTTCAGTTTACTGTGCTTGCACTCCAGCCACGTCATGTCGTTGCTGATCACCAATGTGACGGTTCTTTCTCTAAAACTTTTGCTAAATGAATCGTTTCGTACGATTGTTTTTTGCTTTGGCTTATCGGCCGTTTTCTGGATGGTGTATAACACCCAGAACATTGTTTTTGCATTTGTAAGGATGCGACATGACTATTGCACAAGTCCCCAGAAGGGCCTTTCTGCACATCCACCATGTTTATTGTTTTCTTCATTTTCTTTTCCTTTTACAGAACAGCGTGCTTTCAGCTTGCCAGAACAGCCACAAGAGAAAAGGTATTTATGAAGATGAATCCCTCATTTCACTGCCTTCCGGTTCATAATGCCGTACCGTTTCCCGCTACCCCCTGTCGCGCTGGTATAAACGCTGGCCTGATCTCTGTTAGCCATTATTATTATTGGCAGCTTGCCCAGTGACCCCCTGGCAGTTCTGGTGGTTTCAGGCTGGCGGGTCGGTTTCTCCTGGGTTTTTTTGAGGGTGCACTTATAAAATTAGCAGGCCCACACTTCTCATTCAGGAAGTGTGGCCTTAGCTTTTGGCTTACTGTTAGCTTTCGGTTTGCTACTAGCTCTTGGCTTGCTGTTAGAAATCGGCTTTGCCATTAGCTCTCGGCTTGGCATTAGCTTCTGGCTTGCTGTATCCTTCTGGCTTGCCGTTAACTTTCAGCTTGCTGTTAGCTTATGGCTTGCTGTTAGCTTCTGGCATGCTGTTAGCTTCCAGCTTGACGTTAGCTTTGGACATGCCGTTTGCTCTCAGTTTGCTGTTTGCTTCCGACTCGCCGTTAGCTTCCGGCTTGCTGTTAGCTTGTGGTTTGTTGTTAGCTCTTGGTTTGCTGTTCGCTCTCAGTTTGTTATTAGCTTATGGCTAGCTGTTAGCTTATGGCTTGCTGTTAGCTCTCAGCTTGCTGTTTGTTCTGGCTTGCCATTAGCTTTAGGCCTTCCATTAGCTTCCGGCATACTGTTAGCTCTCGGCTTGCTGTTAGCTCTCAGTTTGCTGTTAGCTTATGGCTTGCAGTTAGCTTCCGGCATGCTGTTAACTTTCGGCTTGCCGTTAGCTTCCAGCTTGCTGTTAGCTCTTAGTTCACTGTTAGCTCTCAGTTTGCTGTTAGCTCTCAGTGGCTTGCTGTTAGCTTCCAGCTTGCTGTTAGCTCTCAGTGGCTTGCTGTTAGCTTTCGGCCACTGTTACCTCTCAGTTTGTTCTTAGCTCTCAGTTTGCTTTTAGCTTCTGGCTTGCCATTAGCTTTCAGCTTGCTGTTAACTTCGGGCAGGCTGTTAGCTTTCGGCTTGCTGTTAGCTTTCGGCTTGCTGTTAGCTCTTGACTTGCTGTTAGATTCTGGCTTACTGTTAGCTACCAGCATGTTTTGTTGGTTCACTGCACATCCTCAGTGCCACTTCCTAATTTTCCCAATCGCCCATCAACAAAATAAAAACCTCAGAAACTTTATAAATAAGTCTGTTGTCAAGTAGCTCTGTATTTAGTTTGGCTTCTGTGTTGGCATACGTATATCATACATATTAGCGTGTGTATATATGATTAGACGGCTGTATAGGCACATTTATGTGTTTATATGTACTATGTACTATACATATATACACACACTTCTGTCTGTTCCTTCACAGTTGTATTGGCACTGGAATAGTCGACTAGGTATTTTTTTACCTAATAAACTATAATATAGTATACTGTAGAAAATAGTTGGAAATGTAGGTTTCTTTTAGTTTTAAGTCTTTTAGTTTCTTTTAATTTTTTAAGAATATCGGCCAGTTTTTCCTGTTTTATCGTTAAGCAGCTTCCACATGCACCGCTAAGCCGCTTAGGTCCTGTGCAGTTGTCCATTTTCTGATAGCTATGGGGTCTCCTTCAGGCAGGCTCAGTTAGATCTTGGATGTTCCAGTATTCTCCGTCTTGGGCAAGAAGTGTCCAGGTTTGCATAGAAAACATCAGCACTGTAAAAGTTTCCAGGTACACTTTGTTCATAATGAAGATATGCAGTATTACTAACGAAAGAACTGCAAAATGTCACATTATAGCAAGTATATAATACATTGTTAGAAGCATTTTATGAGAGTATGAAAATTGCCTTTTGAAATATTAAACAACCTGAAAATAACCAACCCTATAAGGACGTGTTCATGCTTAACTCATGTTTAACCCTTCCTGACCTCACTTTATCTTACTAACTAATGTTAAATATTTTTAGTTTACAGTATTCTACCTAGACTTGATTGCCCTTTTCAGTCATTTGGGAGTATTTGGTATATGAAACAGAACATCAGGTTCCTTAGTGCAATCCCATGTGTCCCAGTCCTGGGTAGCCGGTCCTTAGTCCCCATTTACCCGTAATAAGCCAAAACCTGGAAATATTACCGTTTTCCATAAAATGGGACAGCATGCACAGCAGCATTCCCCGTGTCCCCAGCCAACGTGCTGTGCAGTTATCACACAGTTTCAGTCCCTTTGTAGTGCTGCCAACAGCAGGCACTCGAACACGACAGACACCACAGGCAGAGAGTCACTCCTGCTGCTCGCTGATGGTTAATGCTGAAAAGTACACGGTGTGTGACTAAACCCCCCCACCAAGCCACAGCACGTCGGGAGAGCTCTGTTGTTTCCCATAGGGAGTTAACTTTCCGTAAGAGGGCACAGTCAGCTGAGGACGAGGGCAGAGTGGCACTGGCGGCGTCCCTGCAACACCTCACCCTCTCCGAATTCCTCAAAGAGTATGTGGCCAGTCCAGCCCTGGGGTCAGCTTGGCGTAACCTGTTAGCTATTAACCCATCTCGCCGCTCACTGCTGTGTCAGCACCCTAAACACCGCAAGCTGTCTGGTAACCAAGCCTAACATAGCAGGCACACTGTTTATATTTACTAGTAATAGCATCTAACCGCCCCTGAATTACTTGCCAGTAGATCTGTAACCTGTAGATCTGTTACCTATAGCATGTTGAGGTATGGATTAAATGAGGAGCTCAAAATAAAGGCAGCTTTAAATGCTCTGTGAGTCATGAAGCCTGAAGTCCAGAAGAATGAATTGGTTTGTTATGACTCTGTGGGGGGGCTTAGGATTGCATGGTATGCTCGCTTCGGTTTAACTTTTCTCCAGCAGGACCAGTGGTGGTATGAACTAACCCACTGCAGTGTTTCTTTTGCTGCTTAGAATTTAAAATGTATCTGTGAGGTTCTTAGAAATGCAACAGTAGGACAGTGGGCACAATCTGATTATCATTGTGACTAACAGCTTTCCTGCCTTGTGTAAAGTGCATGATTGGCACAATGCGAACTAACCATAACATTGTCCTTCAAGTAGATTAATGCCAGATTGTTCTGTAATGTACAGCCGCAGAATTGCCGAGTGCGTGACGCAATTTTGCAGTCGTGTAAAATGCTTTTTTTTTTTTCTTCAAACAGAATTGAAGAAGAAGAATGGGATAAATATATCATCCCGTCCAAAGCCGAGTCGGAGAAGTACAAAGTGAGTCGCACCTTCAGCTTCTTGAAGAGCAGGATGTCCAGCACTCGCAACAAGAACAAGGTAAAGGCAGGCGCTGCACCTGTCAACCCGCCTGCCTCCGCTGAGGGACATGCACGCGTTTACGCTCGGCCACCTCCTTCCAGAGAAGAAATGGACGTATTAGACCTTAGAAAGCGCTGAACTTTTAACTGTCGCCCACCAAAAAGCAGAACTGTGCTTGTAATCATTAACCCTCATGGAAAGCAAACAACAAATTCACCTTTGCACGTCCCCGACGTACAGCTTTCATTATCGTTAATGCCGTTTCATGAGGGCAGTCAGGATAAAAAGGTAGCAGAGAAATGCCAGATCCTGTGCGCTTGACTGATAACCACTGGGTCTGACTTCCCAAGGGGAAGGCAAAGGAAAAGGAGGGCAAAGAGAAGTCACTGAATGGCCACCAGTTTGCCACAGGGTCCTGCACAGGTCTGACGCTGTGCCTGGTCTGCGACAAGCCAGCTGTGGGGAAGGACCTCCTTCAGTGTTCAAGTGTGTATTGTTTTCCTGTCTTCCTGTCAGCGGGTCACCACCTTTGTCTCTCTATAAATGTGGAGAGGACTGATATTATGCTATTGTTGAAGGAAGCAGAAGTGTTTGCTCTAGAATTTTCTATTATGCTCTACTGCTGCTCTCTAATCCAGATGCTTTCGTTTCTGGTCCAGATGCAATAAATACTTTTGCTGAATAGGCTGGTGGGCATTTAAATTCTGAAAGGTTAATATGCAGGCTAATGTCGGACTCTGTACACTCTAGCTGTTATTGAGGTGTCACTGATGATGTCACTTCCTCCACAGACTGCAGCATCAATGTGCACAAAGGCTGTCGGGATTCTGTCACACCTTGTATGAAGGTATCACTTTATTGCACGCAGGATCTTGTTAAATACAAATACTGCAATTTATAGCAGGATATACTGTAATTATTTCAGGTCTCGTTCTCTAGTCATGCCCACAGAATTCCTTAAAAAGGAATGAGGAAATGTTATAATTTTCAGGGCGTCATTCGAGGAGTTACGTTGCTTGCAAAATAATCAGAGTGTTAGTCATGGTCAGCCAAAACCAAGAAATAATTTATGTTAATGATTTAAAAGTACAGCATATATATTATCTTTTTCTTTCCTTAAGAATGGAAGAGTGGCTACAGCACATGGAAGTTATATGTTGTTTGCACATACATGTGATCCTTATTTTCAAATCAGAGTCTTTGTTTCTCACAGAAGCTTCAAGAAAGATATGCGGTGACAATGAAGAACAAGTCAACTTCCCTCCCGCAGAGTGAGTCCAGCAGTTAAAGTTTGCCTGGTTGCATTAATGTTTAGTGAACTACGTGGGGGGTTCCTGACGGAGCCTCTCTTCCCCTACAGGGCAGTGAAGCACCTTTTTTTAAAACTGGTCGAGTCCTTTGATCTTTGTACAAAGACCTCTTTAATGAGCATTTTCATTCTAATGAGCATATATATTAAAGTTACAAAATGCTCACCAGAAATAGTACAGAAATGTTTTTTTCCACAATTCCAGATTTATTTTAATATCTATACAGCAGACATGCAATTCTTGCATAATTTTAAATCAAGGGACAGTAGAAATTTTGAGAGTAATTATAGAAGGGCAACAACAGATATCCTGTAAATAGAACCAGGCATGGCCCACCTTTGATGTGCTTAAGCGGCCACAACTGGGCTAACTGTAATCGTCTCCCAGTAATAACTAGAGAGGAACAATTATATCTAACTTCAAACTGAAATAATCTCCTCTTAGCTTGCCCCTAAGAAAATAGTTCTTTAAACTTACGGAAAGTAACGGTTACTTATTTATTTATGATGCAGTTGTATGGTTATATATTTATTAGTTAAGCATATGTAACTTAATTGGAATGTTCAACAGCTTTTGTTTTCTGCAATAAGCGGTTGGCCCAGGATTAAGTTCTGGGAGCCCCATACTGACCTGTGACCATTATTATCTGTCAGACACTCTGACGCGGGAAAATCCCATAACCTGCGTCATCCCCACCTCCACCTCCCTGCCCGCCGTCATGTGTCGGGATAAGAGGGAACAGGCCAGCGTGCCTGGCTCCCTGTCCAAGAGCGCACCCATCGTTACAGAGCGGTGAGTGGGCTTCCTCCGTAGCCATGCGGTGGGGTGGCCAGTTACAGGGGGGTCACGAGTGCAAAAAAAATACAAGCTTTGATTAGACATCTGCACACAGCTATGTTCCTTCTGCATGGAGATGAACGTCTCAGGGTCAGAAATCCAAGCCCTGCACCATGTTTTAGTATTTCTGAAAGGTGCATGGTTTTACGCAGGTTTAATGACGTGTGCTTCAAGCCCCATGAAAGATCATGCCATTATAGCCTTAGACAAGCTACGTTTCCTGAATTCCTCCAATAAAATATCTACAGTAGCTTTATGGAGATAGAGAGTGAAGCTAAAGCCTTTGCTATAGTAATTTAATCAGAAGATGAATGTCACTTGTGGTTTTGCATGAAGCTTCACAGAGGCTCTTACGATGTTGTTGCCGATGTCCTCCCCAGCAGGCTGAGCGAGGGTCCCGAGGTCGACCCTGAGACCGTGGCCTGGGGGAGCCGCTCGCAGTCCGAGGAGCTCCTGCCCGTCACCGAATCCTCGCCCTCCACCGACTCCTCCATCATTGAAGGTATTATCACGTCATCCTCTACCTTAGCTACCTGAACAGCCACTCACCCAGGTTCTGCAACTGCTTCTCCAGCACAAGTTACCCCAACAGACTGAACTAATTGTACTGTTGACTGTCTTCGGAAGCATTGATTTATTGGTGCTGAGAGGGGGGGTATTGAATTACCTGGCATCTGATTTGTGGCTTGAAACAGGACTTTGAGCTCAGTTTACCAAATTAGCAATGAGAAGGCAGTGTGTTGTTCTTTGGCTATTTGTGGAAGAACATTTTATTCTCAGGTACTGCCTGATTCTGACTAATGCTTGAAAAATGTGTTACCCGTTAAATGAGCTTTCATCAAGTCTGTGGCGCAGTGGTGAAATTCCTTCAAGCATCCATACCAGTGATAATTTGATAAATATAACTGCAGTTTGCGGTCTTTTTTGATGTACTTCTCAATTTTCCGTCTATTCTCTAAAGTCGATTTTACCAGAGGAATTATTTTCTTCACAAAAGCAAACAGGTGTCATCTTCTGTGTCTTCAGATGTTGTGGACGCCTCATTAAGAAATGACTTCCGGGCGGATCTGCTAGATTACGAGGCGGAGTCCTGGAGCCTTGCTGTGGACCACAAGTTCTGCAAGAAGCAAGAGAAACGTGTTGTGAAAAGACAGGATGTGATTTATGGTGCGTTCTGCAGCCTTATCAAACAGGGACTAAATCTCCACTTTGAACAAACAATATTGTCTTCCGTCCTCTGACATAAGGTCAAAATAAATTACAAACATGAAGCCGGTGCCGGTTTTAGTCTACATCACTGTTATGGCAGCTGTTTAAACGGCTGTTGGATAAAAAGAGTCAAACCTTTCCTATTAGTTTTGGCAAAATACCTTTACTCAGTGGAATATTTATAGTGTTCAGAAACAAAATGAAATGTCTTTCTAAGTTATTTTTTAACTCTCTGTATGCCATGCCTTCATCCTTCTTCCATATCTGCACCTGCGATTCAGACTTATGTGAGCCTGGTGCCAGTCTCAGGAACCACAGGGCATGTGACACGGTACACTCTGGATAGGATGCCCTGTTTGGGGGAACATTCATAATCTGAGTCAAAAACCATTTACATATTCAGAAAACTTCTTCTGAAAGCTTTATGTGCTAAGACTGAGTCCTAATAATATGAACTTGAAATGACATTTTGAATGTGTATTTAGAGACTTGGAAGCAGTTTCCAAATACACAAGAGCATGTTGGGTTTGGGAACTACAATGAAGCAATCTTGAGCTAATTTCCGAAAATAACTGAATACCCTGGCAGTGTTTTGCATATTTTAAATCAGAAATCAGATGGAAAAGCTGTGCTTCACTTGCCTAGGTGCGGAGAGATCACAGTTTACTTCAAGTGACCGTGTGTCTGTTGGTTGGAAATCAAAGAACATTTAGTGTTTTTAAGAAACACCGGCAGCATCTCTGAAGATGAACATAGAACCTGAATTTTAAGCTCTCAATTATTGTCATCACTATCTGGCTTTAGAATTATGCCTGAGTCTTAGTTCTGATCCTTTTTACTCTTTTAATCTTTTTAAAAAAACTTTTATTTATTATTTTATTTGCTCACTAAATTCCGCTAATGGAGGAAGTATTTGTAGAAACAGCTTGGAGCAATCTCGATACATCATGGTTAGGTTATGTCGTCAATACAATATTTAAATAGCTTGCATGTTTTACCCGTTGTCCATTCGTTGGCAGTAAAAAAAAAAGTGTTAATTTCCTTCCTTTGTGGTATTGCCAAATATTTTAGATAAGTTTTCCAGTTGGGTTTTGACCTCGCAACCTTCTAGGCGCAAGGCCAGCTCTGTGAAGAGTGGCGTTCAGGCCTGCCAACTGTTAATTGTAAGGACTACAGGAGTCACCTTTGAAATATACAGATATCCATTTAAAGGTATCTTTCCATTTACTCTAAGCCAAGACACTGCAGTGTTTGCTTTATAACAGTGGGGAGATTCTGAGTAATGCTTGTGTTGTTTTTCAATGAAGCCTTTGCTGCTGTTGAACTTACAATTACAAGTAGTAGCTGTGTAAATATATAGCATGATCTGTTAGGTATAAATTATTTAGCAAATGTCTTTGTAAAAGTAAAAGCTTTCTTGTGTGTGTTACTGATACTTTTAATTTGTCTAGTTTCCTTTTTTTCTTTTCAAACTCCTGTGTTCAAGGGGAGAGGGCTGCGGGCACAGCGACGTGCCCATCAAGATGCCCCCAGAGATGAACTCTTGAGATTATTACTCTGCTTCTTGTTCCTCCAGAGCTGATGCAGACCGAGATGCACCACATCCAGACGCTGACCATCATGGCTGAGATTTTCCGGAAGGGCATGAGGGAAGAGCTGCAGCTCGACCTGGAAACGGTGGACAAGATCTTCCCCTGTCTGGACGAGCTGTTTGACTTCCACAAAAGCTTCTTCTGCACCATGAAAGAGCGGCGGCAGGCCTGCACCATGGAGCATAACAGCAGGAACTTCCTCATTGACAGGATCGGAGACATCCTTGTGCACCAGGTGAGTATCCAACTGACAACAGAGTGTGAAGTCTATATATTGGTCGGTCTTTTTTAAGTATTTGGTTAACAAAGGAGATCTCTGTTAATACGGTGTCACAGCACATTGCCTGTTATGCATATAGTTGTTGCATGTATATAGCTTTCAAGCCTCCATGCAACCAGCACCCTCTCATTTTGATATAGTTTTCGCATGAAAATGCTGAGAAGATGAAGCAGGTCTACGGGGAATTCTGTAGCCATCATACCGAAGCTGTGAGCTTCTTCAAAGAGCTTCAGCAGCAGAACAAGAAGTTCCAGCTATTTATAAAAGTAAGCCTTATTTTATTAATTTTGTTCCTTTAAGCCTTGTGGGTTATGTCATCATAATCTCCTTATGGGTCACTGGCTGCCTTATTCATCTGATACCTATTGCTCTGTATCCTGATGATGTTTCTACAGCAACAGAGTAATAACTCTTTGGTGCGGAGGAAAGAGATCCCAGAATGCATCCTGTTGGTGACACAGCGCATCACCAAATACCCAGTATTACTGGAGAGGATTCTTCAGTATTCCCAAGGTCAGTCAGTCTGTTTCAGGTTCAGTACTGCAGATGCATCTTCAGTTTACACATTAACTTAATTTCAGAATTTCCATTTCTTCATCTATAGCCTAAAATCAATGTACCTTTGCTCATCACTGGGGCTGTGCCCTTTTAAGTTATAGAAATGATGTACGAGGAACATTTTTTTTGTACCATTGGGGTCCATTAATGTTTGTACCTTGAGGATGATCGGAGTCAATTTCTGTACCTTAAATTACACTAAAAAGTACATTTACTACAGCTAGGGTACAACTGGCCTACCCTTGAGGGTATAGCCCCAGTGATGAGCAAAGGTACAGATTGGTACTCATTTTTACTGACAGTGTATGTCAGTCGAATGTGGAACACTGAAAACAAATACTACAGTAAAATCTCGTTATAGTGGACTCGCTTATAACGGAATATCGTCTATAATGGACAAGGTCCGCTGGTCCCGGCAGTGCGCCTTTAAGAACATGCAGAAAAATC